CTCCCCAACACTCCACCTACGCTCACCGGCACGTGTGCAATGCGCTGCCACGTGAGGACACTGAGTGATCTATTTACCTCGCAGCGCATTCCTCGCTCGGCTCGCTGGGGAAACATTTCCTTCCCACGGTCAGCCTGTGCGACGCATTTTATGCTTGCAGGACGCCTGAGAAATAAATGTGCAAGTTTGTTTAGGCGTTGTTCTGTTTTAGTGGTAGACGCGAGTCTAGATTTCAATGTCTTGAAAGCAATCTAATGAAACTATTTTTTGTATTTTTTGTGATTATTAACAATAAACGTCGTTGTATTAGTTTTGTGTACCGTTGTGAACATGATACAAGTATAATTATATTTTTAATGTTATGCAACACATTTTTTAAAGTTTTTGAGACGTCAGTGTTTTGAATTGCAAACAAAAGCATGTAACATTAAATATATTGAAAATAAAATAACATTTTAACTATTTAATAGGAATTCCAGCTGCGTTTGCAAGAATCATGACAATACAGTGTGACGTTAGATGTTATAACGTTGTTTGTGCTGGAACAGCTTTAAAATAAAGAATCGATTCATTATTTGATCATTCATTTTTTAGTAATTTTCATAAATTTGAAATTAAAATATTATAGTAACGTATGCATTATTTTACTACGGTGTTGCTTAATTGATTTTTAATATTCATAAAGAGCGACTTCATGCTTTTTGAATGTTCATACATGTTCTGAAAATGCAAACGTTACTTCAATAAACCCGTTCATTAAATTTAATTATTTAAATAATTAAATAATTTGTTAAAATAAATTATTATAAAATGTGTTTCAAATGTTCGTCTGCATATAACACATTTTAAAATATAATTTACTTTTCAACTATTAAATCACTTTCCTTCTGAGATACAAAAGAAGAACATAAATCGAATACATATTAATGATTCTCAATGTTTTCCCACAACTTCAGGCCCTTCTCAGACGACATTGTATGGCATTACGATGGACTTTATATTGTGGAGTTGTATTTAAATGTCGTCTGAAAAGCATGCCTTTCTATTTTGTTTTTCTTTTCGTCTATTTTGATTGTGTACCATGTTTCGGGGCAGTAAATTAACATTAATTAGTGTCGGATCTATCGGATTAATTAGTGTAAAGATCTAAGTTATTTATTTTTATTATTTATAATACTAAAAAATAATTTCTGAACTTTTTAAATTGACTTTTCTTTGAATTTAAAGAGAAAACTAACAAATAATTCAAATACATCTGTATGAGCTCCACTAGTTGTTAACATAATAATTTGTTTTCCTTTTTATCAGTATTTTATTTTTATTATCTTATTTTTTTAAAATCATGTTAATGACCATTTATTTCAAGAAAATTTGGTACATTGTCAAATTAGAACAAAAGAGGGAAATATGGCGGGGAGTGCGCAATGAAATATTGAGGTCGAAAAACAAGAACCACCATTGATAGATATGTTAAACATTGGGTAAGAGGTAGGCAATATTGTAATTAGTATTTTTCATTATTAAGCCATTCTTAATGTATTGTATGTAATATAATGTCACTTGCCGATAAAAATCAATCACACTCAACTAGCTTGTAATTTCTCATAGAACGCACTGTGTAATTGTGAATGAGAAATGTTCATTATTAAGAGTACCAAATAGATCATCGCATTGTGTATTTAAATAATAGCTTTAAACGGGAAATTCAACGAAAATTTAATATGAAAAATATTATTTGAAGTACAAGAAATATCAAACTAATAATTGTAAAATCTGAGGAATTGAGAAACGTCTCTTAAGTGAGAAAGAATATCCGATGACAAGACCAAATGCAAACAAAGAAATGTAAATTTTTAACTTTGATTTCCTATCGTAATATTTAAAACTATTTTACATTTTAAAGCAGTAGTCAAAGAGAATCCAAAAGAACGGAAAAGGACAGTGAAATACTATTAGATAAAAGCACTAGAATTGCTCATATATTCATTGCCTAGCTAAATTAATTTGTATTCACTATCCATTTTCCTCCTTCGTATTTCGTTGTATCTAAATGTTCTAATAAAAATAACGTTTCATTTTCTTCTATTCCAGTAATGGGTGCTGAAAACTTTCTCTATCTAGAACCATGAAGTCTCTACGAAGGAGACTTAATTCCGGTGTTGGGGGTTTTGTGTGAAAAAGCGTTGGTAGCTAATCACACTCACATAGCTTCATGGATGTCACGCAGTCAATAGAAAAACATATTTTAAGGCATTTTTCGGACAATGTCGACCAAGGTCATTTTAGAGTCCCTAGATACAGAGAATAGCGCAACCGCCGTGGTGATATAAAGGAGATTTCCAAAAATATTAATATTTTTTGGGATATATTCATGGTCTTCTATTCACAGAAAACCCTTAAGTTTCAATTCTTTTGACAACTGGATGTAAAATGGCGGCATCCGTGGAACACTGAAATGCGTTACTCTCCGTATCTAAGGACTCTAGACCATGTGTCAAGTCTATACCATCTAAACTAACACACACTAAAGTGAAAATGGCGCTGATCAAGTACCTATACGTGCGCTATTATTGTCTGAAAAAGCCGAGATAATTTTTTTCATTCACCGCCTGATGTCGCAGAAGCAATGTGTATGATTGGCTGCCGACCTCCACACCCACTGGAGTTCAGTCGTCTTCATACAAACTTCGCGTACACGAATAGATAGTTTTCTGTTTTGCGTAGAACATATTTCTTTTAGGTTTATTTCTTCTTTCTCGGCACTTCTGCTTTTCAAGGGTGTTGATACAAGGTTTGTATAACTTTACAAGCTGAATCATCCTCAGGTCTACGTGCCAATATACTTCTGGCATATGAATATTCGATTGATAGGTAACATGAGCTTGGCACGAATTAGTTGGTAATTTTGCATAGTTGTGTGTGTGTGTGTGTGAGTGAGTGAGACAGAGATAGATAATATTTGTAGATGGTTAAGGAGGCTAGAGGCATCTTCTATCGCTGTTTTTTCAACAATTATTTTCTTTAATCCACAATTTAACTTTGATATCAATTGTGACTTCTCACAAATATGGATACCGTTGTTACTAAAACTATCCCATTGTACAGTACAGCAAGGAATGATTACGATTTTGTTGTACGGTTTGAATTACAATATACCATTGACAAAAAAACCGTAAATGTAATAGTTTTATATTATAATTTTATATTAAAAACCGGAAATGTAATAGTATTACTGCTGGATAGAGGCATCAAATAGATTAATTCGAAAAGTTTACGCAGTTTGCCATCATCTCGGCAAACACGATAGGGCACATCTACAGCACCATCTCGACAACTCAGTAAAGATGCGTCCTTTGCGCCTTAAAGAAATGTTTCTGTGTCGTTTACGGGAGAAGAGTTACGTTTCTTAAGCGTAAGCTACATGATGAAAGTGTTTGGGCGCTATATTAAAAGGACGTTTCCTACTTCGTAACAAAGATTCTCAGAAACGTTAAAATTTGTGTTCCAAAATGAAGCAATTTTTACATTTAAAACAACAATTCAAAACTGTGGAATGCTCACATATGTTCCAAAAATTTGTAGGGTATTATTATAACCATGGAATAAATAAGTCAGGTTTTTAAAATACTTTTTTATTGGTGATTTATTTTTGCCAGCGTTCCAACTTCATAAATGAATTAAGGGCGTTGTCTTGGAAAACATTGTTGAACTCAAGAACAGATTTTGATGGCTTTTGATAGCATCATCGTCTTATTTCTAGACAAGAAATAAATTACTGTAGTATTTAAATGATTTATAACTCCTCTGCCCTTTTATTTCATTTGTTAAGTTAATTTAGTTGCTCTTGTTTAAAAAATATGTATTTACAAAACTTAAAATGACCTATCTATAGTAAATATCTAGTAGTAAATATTGCAATCATGGGCCAGAGAACGGCGACTGTTCGGTAGAAACACTCTTATTGTCGGGCCCTGGTAACGAAAAGCTAGATAAATCATGTATCTATGTATAGTAAATTACATCCTCTAACACGTCTTAAAAATCTACGTTTTGTGGGTTCTTTATACTGAAAAAGCGATTCACAGCAAAAAGTCTACCTGTCTGTCCGACTGTCTGTCCGTCCGTCTGTCCGTCCATCTGCCCGTCCCTCCGTCCGTCTACTTGTTCGTCTGTGGTCAATGCTACCGCATAAACTGTTCTGCCGTTTTTTCCAAATTTGATATTCCTTAATCGATCAAAATGAATTCAATATCGTGGAGTTTTAAATCGATATTTTGATTTTTGAGGTCACTTTATATGAAACCTTACCATTTCCAAATTTGTTTCAAAACTGCTTCCAAATGTTTTGATTAAACTTTGTTCTCTAATAGCATAGGGAACTCTTACAGAAATGGCGAGGGAGTTTCATTTTCGTTGAAACCCTAAATTGTTTGAAAATTGCAAACGTTTACACTTTTGTGGCGTTTTCGTACATCTACAATAACTAAGATATAATTTTTTTCCTTAATAAAATCTGTTCATCAAAAGAAAAATTTCTTTTTTTGATAAACAGAAATATGTTTATTGTAGAAAGGAAAATATATTTATAACAGAAATCTGCTTATCAAAAACAGATCTTTAAGTAGTAGTTTAAGTTAAACTTCTGCTTAAGTTTAATCTTAAGCAGAAGTTTAAGTAGTGTAATGTTCAGTGTTACGGAAATGTAAGTAGGTTTTTGTATAATTTTGCGTGAAAATCGCACGTGTAGAAGTATTTGAAGAAAGTTTGTGTCGTTGTACCTCCACTAGTTATATCTTATATGTTTTGTATCAGGTAATTGACAATGATGTCTAAGCCATCTATGGTCTCTCTTGCATTTAATCTAAATATTAGCCACTAATGTACTTGTATTTTATTTATTTATTTCGTCATGTTTTCACCCACTTGGAGAGTAGTGTTATTCTTAGTTCAATCTACCTTTTCTTAGCTCGTAAAATTATCACGTTTTATGTTTATTATAGATGAACAGTGCACACATAAGGTATAGAAACCATAACCACTACAACACTGTAGGCAAAATTTCTGATAGCGGGTGACAAGTGATTTTCTTCTGATCATTTATTGCTTAAATTGATTTTAGTGTTATATTTCATCACCTTCTTTGCCCTTATAAGACGCACTAAAAGATAGAAATTTCAGGAAATGTTTTAAAAACTAACAAAAATGCTGAAATGTTTAAGAACTTTCTAAAATATGCATGCGTCAATTTGAAATATGAAATGGAATGCGTGAGTAGGTATCAGTGTGTTGGAAACAATTCCTATTCAGTATTGAACCAAATTTGTGTACTTGTACATTGTATGTAGATATCATATGTTGTGTATGGACTATACCTACTTTTGTGTAATACGTCCTTCTGAATACGGAAAATCTTCGCAAATAATAGTGACAATAAATTGCCAACTAATTTTACTCTCTCCCGGAGTTGTAAGGATCCGGGATGGGACATGGAAGGCAGAAGAGATCATCCAGGCAAGAAAGTGGTGTGCAGAAAGCAAGTCGTCATTTAATAAACACTGGTTTATTTTCCAAGGTTACATGCTTTGTACAGGGCCGGCGCGTGGGCGGCGCCGGTGGAGGCGGCGAGAGCGGCGAGGAGGCGAGAGCACGCGAGCTGCGTCCTCAGCGGGCGCTAGCGGCGGCGGCCGAAACGCAGGAACACGTGATCGACGTCTTGCCTCTTGATGACGGGGCCGTCGTACTCTGCAACAGGCGCTGGGTGAGTGGACGGGGGAGAGCACGTGAGGGCGAGGCGGGGGAGAGCGAAGGGGAGCGTGCGTGTGTCTTGAAAAGGTGATGTTTCGAAAGTAAGAAAAATAGAGAGAGACCGGGAAGGCTACAGGTAAAGAAAAAAACACCGCGCTAACTGCTGTCAGCACACTTTATTAGCGGCTCTACACTTAGATGAAGTAGTAGTAGTAGTAGAAGTAGAAGAAGAGACATAGAGTGGAGGATGAGAAGGAAGAGGCCGGCCTGCGCGGTGGCAGCGGCGGCGGCGGCGGCGGCGGCCGCAGCGGCGGCGGAGGCGGCTCCATGGGGGCGGAGGCCACTCCCGAGGGCAGCAGCGGCGGCGGGGCGGGCGCGGGCCGTGCCGGTGGCGGCGGGGACGTCTTAGCGGCGACGCCCGAAGCGCAGGAAGACGTGTTCGGGCCGCTCAGCAGGGCGCCGCTTCGCCATGTCGGGCTCGACTGCAACAGGGGCGCGCCGTCAGCCGGGCGCCCGCCGCTCGCCCGCTGGCCAGCCCCGCGGCATGCTCCGTAGCCGCATGCTGCCCGCTCTCTGGCTCTGGCTGGGTCTCGCGCGCATGCGCCCGCCCCGGCCGCATGCTCGCAGTCGCGCCTCGCGCCGCATGCCGCGCCCCGCGCCATGCACTATGCGCGTCTGGGGGGAGGGGAAGTGGGGACGCGGCGCTATGCAATGACTGAATTGAATTGAGGCCTTATTTTACGTGGCGAGACTCGGGCCATCAGGCCCGCTTTTCCTTCTGACCACACAAATTTCCCTTCCGCTCCTTTCACCAACTAGCAGAGAAAGAAGGTATTTCTTGGGCGACGAAACAGGCGATTTGAATTTAGCTCAGAGGCGTCATTTAGACTTGGTCTTTTGCATGCAAGTAAATCTACTAACATGGGACAGCCGGCTTTACTTCCCCTCCGAAGGAAGGCGTACGAAGGATTTTTCGCCCTTAAAAATCCATGGCTTTGATCAGGTTGTCTGAAGGACTCATTGAACCAAATCATTTACCAAAAGAGTAGGCATACTGCATAAGCAATCGACTGCAAACTTTACCCTCTTGAGCAAGTGTAGATGCACAAAAGCGTTGGGAAACTGGAAATCCGCACGTGCAGAAGATCAATATTGCTGCCCATTATTGAAACGCTTCGCTTTGCAAAAACTCCCAAAACTATTTAGACCCACTAACAGGAATTATTACGTAACTTGAAGATCAGAAATTTCTCGATATTTCGATCTTTTTAAGTCTTCTACACTTTTAAGATGGCTCCACACATTTCAAATCCGGCGAGTAGCGAGCAAATGCTCGCCCAACCCCGATAATCCGAATTGTTCGGCGAATGTTTCCTTTGTTTCAGGTGTCCAAATTACCAGCCACGCCTCCCCACCCATCGAGATACGGCGAGCGGGCGCTCGCTACTTGCCGCGTGTGTGAAGTCTACTTTTCGTGTGAGGAACTTCAAAAACCTACTTCATCTACCCATTTTTTTAAAAAATTTCTCCTTTGAATCCGAAATAGTGAGGTAGACATGGTATAAGAAAAAAAAAGATTCATTTACTAATATAATTTTCATGTCACAACCGGGAACTTTAAAATAACATTCATCCAATCAACATACGTTAGCTAGAATCCCAAAGATATCAACTTTTTGTTAGTAGTATAGAAAATTTATTTGCGGTCGTGTTGTGCGATGTGGTATTTTTAAACGAGGAGTCTCAGAGTAGTGATATTCGGCATTCAGTCATTGCACTACAACGTGTCAACATGATGCATAGTGCTTGTGTAGGAGAGGATAACAAGAGAGGTGGAGCATATCGCAGTTACTATGCAATTTTACTCAAAAGGAAAGATATAAAAGAACAGAAAACCTGTGCAACTTCTTAAAGAAAAATGACTACTTTTAAATGAGATTCTTTTCTACCGTTGCATTCGTATGTCCGGCACAAAATCTTTCCTCTTGAGTAAAATATCACTTATAGAAATCATACATTTCAATCGTTCCTAAACACTTTGCCACATGGTTTTGTGGATAAAAACTTAAATGAAATGTCTTTAGACTAGAAAACATGCGCTCCATGCACATTTATTTAAAATAACTAGTTGATAATCTAGCCATGACATCATGCATTCATAACACAAATTTTAAAGTCTGGATGAATGGATTGTAACATTATTACATTTGGTATCCTTTTCATCAAACTATTTCATGCTCTTTGAATAGTAGAACATTCTGTGGTACTTTTTATACATATTTACAGCTAAGAAAATCAAACCTAATTTCTATTAAACACCATATTCTCACAACTTCCTGTTTTTAATTTGATTTTGACAGGTTTTCCCGTTATTGTTGCTGATTTATTAAATTATTTCTTTTCCCTTATACTACGGAAATTCATTGAGAACCTAAGAGTTTAATTCTGTCATCATATTTTATCGACGAAAATGAATTAGTTTAAATCAAAATATTCATTAACAAAAGGATTTTTCTAAAGATCATATTGATGTATTGATCTCTGGTGTTCCAAAGAACAGGGTCATTGGTGCATGAGATGAATGCATTTACCTACTCTTGGAACTTAGTTGAGTGAATTTGGAAACGAAGTTTTGTAAAATTAAAAGAAGTCCTTCAGAGATTTTATCTTTGAGAAATAAATCAGAAGTTACGCTTTCCATTAAAATGGAGAGGTGTGGGTTGTGTTTGATTTCCATTATTTCGTACCGTCCGATAATGAAGAATTTTTAAAGAGAAGCTGGACATTTTTTATCCATCATTTTGTAGACCACCATTTTTCATCTTTGCAGTACATTGAGAGGAAAAAGTAATTATTTTAATTACAAGGGCTTCAACGTCTGCCTATTACTTTGAAACTACATCAAAAAATTTTGTAATTTTTATAAACAATGCGAACGAGTGAAGTAGGAATGCGCTGGAAAATTTATATTTATTTAGTTGCCTGGTTTTGTTTTAATGACTAGTTTCTACGATAAAAGTTGTCGTGTTATTGATTAATGTTATCGAAGACCTAAAAGCTGTTTTAGTATGTTATTAAAAGATAATTTCATGTTTGTAAATTACATAGTTATTCCCAAGGGACTATTTCTATGTCGCAATAATTTGCCCCAATTGTAATTGTGACTTTTGTTCTCGTGACTTTCGTCAGAATCAGACAACTAATTCTGTCAGCTCCTAAATGCGCTCATATTAATTAACTAAGCTCATATTAAATTGCAACTAACTATCTAAAATTACTTTTTTCAGTTTTTAATGTTCTTCACAGTAGACAAAAGTTAACGACGTGATGTTGACTGAAACGTGTTCAATAATACGTCAATATGACAAGTTATTCAAACTGTATAATGATATTTCGTACTATCGAGCAAAAGGGTCCAGAAGTGTGTTGACTTTGCATTCTGGAGACCCGGGTTCATCAGCATGCCATCCTGACAGCGGTTTTTCGTGGTTTCCCTCGGCCATCCAGGTGAATCCTGGGATGGTTCTTCTGAATGGCTACGACCGCGAAACCGAATACGTTAAGTTCGTGAAGTCACGAAGGTTAAGTGAATTCGAAGCATCACGGGTTCCTGGTTGGGTGACCAACTAGAAACCTCGAGATCTAACGGCGCCAAGACCAAGTGTCCTTTACGGTACGCATAATGGCTAAAAACAAAGACAAATGATGACACTTCGTTTTTCCCGAAAGTCCATATTTCATTAATTTGTGATTTTTTAAAAATAATTTTTAATCAAATTACTATTTTAGTGAAGATAAACATGCATTAATGACAAGTTTTTCTTTGCGCTTTATTCGAATACAATTTACGTCTTCTCCTCTTTCATTTCTGCTTTCAGGTTTCGCCAATGCTACCCAATATGCTAAGCAAAGTTCACTCGGAAACTTCCGGATAGAGTAAATACATTTTTAAAGAGGTTGGGAACTGCAGAGAAACAAGTCCTTAATTACTTGATACAAGTTTTCGCAACTTCAACCTTTTGTTTAATTTTATAATCTCATTATATTTATAAAGTTTCACAGAAATTAAGAATTCTCTTTGTTAATTATTTACATTATTCTATCACTATCAGTAAATGTTATTTAAATTCAAAGAATAAATTTGAAATACTAAAAATAGTCAGAGCTATGTTGTAATTATTTGTGCGTAATTATTTGTGGCGTAGGTAAACCAAACGTAACGACCCGTCACTTTAATTTATTATCGTATCGACACTACTTTGATTATGCTGATTTTACTTTCTTACATGATGTTAAAGAACTTCAATAAATGATTTTAAGTAAATAATGTCAAATTCAAAGAAAAAAATTCTGCCAATTTTAACATTACACAGAGAATGTAATATTTTTTCATACTTTTATTTTCGGAGTTCTTGGTTTTAGATAAAATAAATGTAGCAATTCAAGAGGTTCAATATTTTCTTCGAAAACGGCCAACTATTTTCTTCTTTGCTTTGATGTAATGACAGTTCTAGGAATCTTATTTCCATTGTGTTCCGATCTATGTAATCTCCAATATAAAGAATATCTCTTATATGTTCAACAGTAGACGAATTTACGTACGTCTTACCAAAGTTGTGCAATTGCGAAATTCATCTTGGCAAATGGGTTATTTTGGAATTATTTTGTCAGATTTGCCCGCAAGCAGTGATAACTCGCCCATGTATTTTGTGATAACAAAAGAAAAATGTATACTAATGTTCAGACTGCATATGTGCAAACTTTTACATGCGTAAAAGTGTCAGTAAACTTAAATATGTTAAAAATGGTTCAAACTACCAGTCTAAAGAAAATAAGAAATTCAACCTAAAAGTGAAGTGACGAGATGGAATAAGAAATAAGCATGGACAGAATCGTAGCATCGAAAGAAAATCTCTGGGAATGTTGAGTTAGAATATTAACCAATGAGAATAATAGTACATCGTAACAAGAAATACATCTGCAAGAAATGATAGAGTGCAAAATATTGTTAGGACAATAGATATACAAAATAACCCAGATAACTAATGAACCGACAGAGGAGATGATGCTTCAGGTATAGAGGGGTAGAAAGAAATGCGATACAGACAAGTAGAATGAAATATTAAATAAGAGTGTACACAAGAAGAGTGTAAGAAAGTACAGTTCTAAACTATTGATCACTACAGAAGTTTGAGAAACACAGCAGGCAAATAGAAACAGAAGACCAGAGAAAACCTCCGAAGAAATGCAGGAAGAAGACGAGAGAATTAACTTTTTATGCGATCAGAAGGCGGAAGAGTCTCGGAATAGGGGAAAAGAACGACGAAAGGAGTAGTAGTTACTATTTGTTTGAAGAGAAACGTAGATGATTCATAGAACATCCCATGAACGGTTGAGAATACATTAAAAAAAAGAGAGGACATTTGATAAAATTTAAAAGAAATAATTTTTAAATAAATTTTATTCAATGAACGTAACAACTATTCATTGTAGGTGTAATTTTCTAAATTTCTTTCAATTTTTGTATTTGAATTATTAGATTACTTTAAACTGTG